GTAAACCAAAAAAGAATAGATTAACCAGTTTGTTTGATTACTTGGCAATAGTAATAGTTTCTTTCTCAAGAAATAATTGTTATTTGATAATAAGACTAAGAGTAGAATATTATTTTATTATTGTAAGGGATCATATATGTTTTACTTGACTATTTCGTGACTAACATTTGTATGGTATAGCTGATTATTCATATATTTTTCCTTGTAAGTATTTTTTTTTAATCAAATCACCCACTATTTGAAAAAGTAAAAGTCATAGCAGGCTCACTATTACAGAAAAATCTTGCGAGAGCAGCGGGTGAATTCAATGAAATCCAATCTGGGCCTGCTTAAAACAACCGCAAGTGATTTGTAAATATTTTTGATGAACGGAGGATCTTCCCACCATCTGCATGCTTTACTATATTTAGATGAAAAATTAATGGCATCGTAAGGTATTGATTCCAAAAAATCTTTCTCAGGATTCAAACCCGTGAGGTCGTGATATTTTGCACAGGTCGTTCAATTCGAAATTAAAAATCACTAGTTCCATCACCTTAAAGTTTTGTTTGGTTAGTATTTTAATTTGATCACATATGTGACAAACTTGAAGTGCATGTGGAAGAAGGTTGAAGCGAATGCAGATAAACACAGTATAATTAATAATTACTACTCGAATTTAATTTGATGGTATCAAATATCAGATGCTGTATATTGTAAAGAAGTATAATAAGGACATGATTTCTCTGTGTCAATTAAGTATGCCAAGTATTCTTGATTTTGTATTTTGCAAAATATATATCCAAAATATTATATATCGAGGGGAAATATTCATTCCATAAAACCTCCTCCCGTGGTCTTTTGATATATGGTGTCTGGTGCTTGTCTGTCTTGTATTATATTCTTCCAACACTACTTCCCTAAACCATTGGAGACTTATACTTAGATTGAATTGTTCAATATATATTATTACAATAGATATGTGAGGAGATAATATTGAAAATTATAGGACAGGGCTTCTATTATTATTATTATTATTATTATTATTATATAATCATCATCATCATTAGTATTTCTATTACCATTATTACTCACACCACTACGATTGCTAGTCTTCTGCTATTATTTTCAAGTTTAAGAAAGCAAAGTGATGTGAAACAAGAAAAAAGAAAAGGGAAGAGAGAAGGGAGAAGGGAGGAGGAAGAGAAAATATATAATTCTTATTTAAATATCAAAACTGAATAAAATTGAAGAATCCTAAAACTATTTATAGAGCCTTAAAATTAATAAAAATAATAATAAATTTAAATTTAAATCAAATCATAATATAAAAAGATGAGGTTAGATACCTTATCTTATTTAAAATAATATTTAAAAATAAAATAAATTTAAAATATTAAAAAAATAATAGTAATCTCTAGATATTAAAACAAATCTTAATAAACCTTAAATTAAGTCAAATATAATTCTCATCACAAAGGCAAGGCGTTGGCAAAACGAAACATCAATATTAGGTTTCTTTTAAAATAATACCTCCTTTCGTCATTGATTGCTGAACATGTATTTAATTAATTAGATAACATAAATATTCGATCTAAGTTGTACATTTCCAACGTCTTTTCATTGCTGATAAGAGATTACGCCCATAGTACACTATATTAAAATTTTAAAATTAATTAATTATTAGTTATACATAACACGGAGAATGGCACCTAAACCCTCAAATCAAAGAAATTAACACTTAAAGCCTACTACATTTTGCCATGCATGCAAAATTGTTTTTATGGTGAAAAGACTCATTTGACCCTCCTTTAAAATAATAACATCATGCGCAGGATATTATATTCTTAATATATGGATCTTGTGATGTTGTATATAGATATTTTGTTGTACATACATCTAACAAACTCATACATTATTATTCAACTAAATCATATAGGCTATATATAATAAATGAATATTATATTCTTAATGTATGAACCTTGTCTTGTTATACATGAACATTTTATTCATACACCTAAAAACTTTGTACATTATTATTCAATTAAACCACATGAATTATGTATTAATGGACATTATGTTGTTAATGTGTGGACCTTATTATATTATTATATACCAACATTATATTGTAAGCGTACTTAGAAAACTTATACATTTTAAATGACGGGCAAATAAGTTTTTTATTAAAAAACATACTTACATATATATATATATATATATATATATATAAAAGGTCCTTGGGGCTGCAGAATCAATTTAGGATTATGTGCAAATTCCTTTAATTCAGGGGCCTTAAGTGCCATTCTCCCTCTTTAATTTGAATTATTTTGGTGTGTGTTTTATTTTTTTTTAATACGTGTTAATTTCTCATGCTCACGAGTTTAGACTTACAGATCACGTTCTGTCCATTTGCTGGAAAGAATCAGATAATAAGAAAATAAAAAAAAATGGAAACATTATTGTTGATTTTTCATTCTTTTGCCATCACGAGCGACGCCAAATCTTTATCTGCAATTGCTTTAAATTTTTTATTCTTATTTTTATGTATTCTTTCACTGTGCCCAAGACTTTTAAATTGTTTCCAGGATATCTAATATGACATGAATTTGGGTTTATTAATTATGTGAAGTCACCCATCAAGTTTAACGTTTAATTAACATCACCATTCAAAACAATATTCTCTCTCAGTATGTGCTTGTGTATTTGTTTATGCCTTGCTTTACTGCATGCTGCACACTGCACGTATACAATTAAATATTAACTTGAAATGCACTGGAGAGTAAGTTTTATTTTTCATAAAAAGTTTTGAATAGAATATTAAATTAAAACTTAATTAATTTTGCAGTCGGACTAATCCCATATGTAATACGCAATCAAGATACATCTCAAGGAAAAATCAAATGGGGGTTAAACGAGACTTGACTATTCCATTCCATTAAAATAACGAGAGAGAGAGAAAAGAGAGAGAGAGAGAGAGAGAGAGAGAGAGAGAGAGAGAGAGTCCAAGGACAGGCAGGGAAAAAAAATTCTTTCAACTCAATTATATGTTATATTTGACTTTCGATGTCCTTTAAAGTTATCCTTTTGAAGAATAATACTCACTCACTCTTAAATTATAAAATATTTTTAAATTAATTTTTTAATTTTAAAATATAAAATATTTTAGATAGATTAAAAGTTTATTAAATATATTAATTTTAATATTATTATTTTTTTATAATTAATTTTTATCCCTTCTCTTTTAATTAATATATTAAATGATGAATATTTTAAAAAGTTTATATTTTTATTTAAAAAATAATATTATTAAATATATTTAATAAAATTTATTGATATATAAAATTTTATTTAAAAATATTTTATAATTTAGAATTGAGAGAGTGTTAAATTTTTTCTTCAATCAACAACGAAAAGATTTTCATAAAAAGAAAAATCGTAAACTCCATGAGGGTGGAAAATTGTAATTTTTTTCCTTTATGTTTAAACTCTAAACAAGAGTTAAGGATAAAAAACAATAACCCAAGGGAAAGGACAATCACGCGACCATCTACATAGATGAGCACGACATGACTTCATCAGAATATTTTCACCGGTTTACATCTTCCATTGCCATCCGATCTGCAAATCACTGACACACGAGATAAATTTTTACTCCCTTATTGAATAATATAAAATATTTTTTAAAGAATTTAATATTTAAAATATAAAATATTTTTAATTTTTTAAAATATAATTATTATTCTTTTTTTAAAAGCTGATAATAATTTTATATTTGTTATACAATATTTAATAAAAATAAATATAAAAATTTATAATTAATTTAAAAATAAATAATTATTTTATTGAGAGATGAAATTTAATTAAAAATATTTTTATTTTTTAAGGGGAGTATCATTTTTCAAAATTACGTACTGATAACATATATGAGGTTGTATATAGAATTAATCTTTTAATGGTTTAGATTTCATCTTAAGTTTTATATTATATATGAGATTATATATTGCATATAACCGACCACGGTGCATGGTTAGAGGTATGGTAAACAAAAACCATGAGAGGGAGCTGAGGAGAAGGAACCTGATTCATATAAAAAATATTCATATAAAATTATATAACTTTATTTTTTATTTTTTTTAACATTACTCCATCCAGTTTACTTTATTGATCATCTTTTAAAAAAGTACAGTAATCTACTTTATAAGTTATTATATTAATAGTGATGTTTTATTTTAAATAAAATGTCTAAACTACTCATAAAAAATAAGAGAGAGAGAGAGAATATTATATAATTTATTTACCTTTTGAGAGTTATATATATAATTTTATTAAGTGTTATTCTTTATACTTTTATTGTATTAATATTGATGATATTAATATAAATAATTTATAAATAAAATGTAAAGGAGTATATATTATTAAAATGAAATGCTCCAATTTTAAAAATTCAATTTAATGACGGTGACATTTTCTTAAAAAGAAAACTAAATTGTAAATATAATCAAATTAAGATTATTGATTTTAAGTTAAAATATATATTTAATTTTCACCTTTACACTATATTTTATTTTAATCTCTTAATTTTATAAAGTATTTTTTAATTTTTTAATCATAATACTGTTAGTTTTATCTCAAAAATTTTTTATATTAAATTTTTAAATATTAAAAAATATTTTTAAATATTAACATATTAAGTTTAATTTTTTAAAATAATAATGATTGATGAAAAAAATAATCATTTAAAATTAATGTTGTTAGAGTTAAAAAATTAAAAGGATAATTTACAAAATTAAATGATGATATTAAAATTTTATATAAAGTTAAACAATTAAAGTATATTTTAAATTTAATTTTATTATGTTTTTTAGGTACTTATTTTTTAGAAATTAAACATTGTAGAACGCATGCCTGAATAAATCAATAAATTGAAGTGTGTGTATAAATGGTTGCATGTCACAAACAACTTCGGGCGCAAACACATAAAGCGAGTGAGGAACACGAGGGCGATGGAGAGTGGAAGGAAGCCAGGAAAGAAGGGCCCACCACCATGTGAAATTGTATAAACAGTAAAGTCATTCAATACTCCTCTCTGTCTCCTTAATCTGAGCTGAGCTTACCGCCATCTGAACTCAGAGCGTGTCTCTCTCATTCATTCATCTTATGCTTTTTACGTCCCATCACCCATTGCCTCCCATATCAATTTTCCTCCTCCTCATCTTCTTCCTTCCCTCTTCCTTACACCTAAACCTATACTTAACCCCCCTCCCTTCCTCAACATTCAATCCCCAACTAGTTCCACCGAAAAATCCGTTGATCTCATCATGGAATCAGCATCAGGAGGTTCCGGCCCCGGTGCTTCCGATCCTAACAGCACGGAGGGTCCCTCGGGGAATACCACCACCTCTGCCCCTCAAGCCGACGGTTCATCATCGCCGGCGCCACCAAGCCGGTATGAGTCGCAGAAGCGACGGGACTGGAACACCTTCTTGCAGTACCTGAGGAACCACAAGCCGCCATTGACGTTGGCGCGGTGCAGTGGAGCTCACGTGATCGAGTTCTTGAAGTACTTAGACCAATTCGGAAAGACCAAGGTCCACATAGCCGGATGCCCCTATTTCGGGCACCCGAACCCGCCAGCGCCCTGCGCGTGCCCGCTGAAGCAGGCGTGGGGCAGCCTCGACGCTCTGATCGGACGCCTGAGAGCGGCCTACGAGGAGAACGACGGGCGGCCGGAGTCGAACCCGTTCGGGGCGAAAGCCGTAAGAATTTACCTGAGAGAAGTCAGGGAAGGGCAAGCCAAGGCCAGAGGGATTCCTTATGAGAAGAAAAAGCGAAGAAGGGCCACGGTTACCGCAACTAAAGTGGATATCAACACATCCACAGGAAATACTGGAAATGGCGGCGACGGCGAGAGTAAAGATGCCGCTGCCGCTGCTGCCACAAGCGGTGGCGCCGACGGCGGTGACGCCACCGTTAGCGGAGGCGGATGTGTAGCTGCTGCCCCAGGAACAGGTGCAGGTAGTGCTACTGTTACTGCTACGACAGTATAGTACCTTAGATTCGATCATTTTGACAATTTTTTTCTCCACCTTTCGCCACTACGATCTATTTTTGGTTTTAAGGAAATCAATTGTGATTAAGGCTTTATATAAGTCTAAGTCACATGCTATTGGCGATCTTCTCAGGAATCGACCCCATCATAAAAATTAACCTAGTGGAACTATATGTGCATATTTGCATATACATAAATGTATAGCACTCTTGTTGATTACTAGGTCAATGACCAACTGTTTGCCTTTTCTTTCGTTCTTGCGTGTTGATCGAAATAGTTTAATGACTGAAGCTACAAAGCACTGGTTAATTTTGCTTCTCTTTTTCCTATCAACTTTAACTACTGGTATTGTAACTGACTGTGAAACGTGAAAGTACAACAGATAGCTCCAAAACCCTTTCATTTTCTGGCCGAACTCATTCTTCATCCCCCCCCCCTCTCTGATAGATTTGGGGTTACTGTTCACAGTTCAGGGCGAAGGAATTACGTTGTCACTCGGTATATCATGCCACCGAGGAAGCAAATTAAAGCACATATCGTTCATTTGCTTTCATTATGACGTTTGGTTTTTTTTGTCTTGACATGTACTGAGAACTCCAATCAGAACTGAGCACTTGCATGCCAATCCGGTGAAAGTTAAGGGTTGGAACTCTGAAACTAATAAAAATCACAATGATAACTCCAGCTATACATATATCCTATGTCTTTCTCCCTCAGCTATCCATTTATCTTGATAATTGAAAATCATTTTCTCGCTGATTGGTTTTGCTGCTAGCTAGAGCAAGAAATTAAGGCAAGAACACAGAGAATGGGCCGAATTGGTCCAATTCTTGTTGAGTATTTATAAGACCTCAGGAACTGTTCATCTGGTCCCCAGGGAGGTTCTCTATCTAGATCTGCTGGCCTCAATCTATCTGTTGTATTGACATACACGTGCGCTTATATCATTTTTACACATTCTTCAACTCCTGTTTCAGGTGGCTCCTCTTCACAATTCGAGTCTAAACTATTTGTTGGCATTATATAGTTGGCTTAGGCATCAGGATTTTGGCTTATTTTCTTGGTGCTTGGGATTTTAATTCATCACCTTGTTTTGTTCCCTCCTTACCTTAACCTGTTCTCGGTTCTAAGATACCTGTATATAATTGATATTTCTTTCTGTGATAATAACATCCCAAGAAAAAGATAGAGTCTACGAAGCATCAATGCAAATAAAAACTGATCCTCTTGTGATTGCTGCTATTATTTATTCATTTATTTTTATATGGGCAACCCCCACCTAAGTATGAAAGCGACCACCAGCCAACCGTTCCTCACTTGCATTATAGTATATAGTATTATTTATCGTGCATTTCATTATTATTGTTATTATTATAAATCCCTAGCCGCAATTGATTATGTTGTGCTGTTATTATAGCCTAGACCCACCAGCCACTCCCGAACAAATCCCCATTTCTGAATTTTAATTGATTCGGATTTTTGGGCCGTCCACTGAAATTATGAATCATCATCTACTCATGATCGTAATGTACTAAAAATTTGAAATCATTTCTTGTATTGCTTTTTTGTTTGGTTCTTCTTTTTCTGGCATTATTTTCTCTTCCTGCGCTCTTCTCTCTCTCTACATATAAGAAATGAATTTGCATATATCAGGAACTTTCGCTTTCTGGCCTTTTGTGGAACCACGTAATTTCGTATGGGGCATTTTAATTTCTTACTCTCACTTTTGTTTTTTCTTTATTACGAGCGGTGGCCCCTTTTCCCAAGAGATTAAATCTGTGCCCTCCTTCATCCTCCATCCTCCTTGCTACTTACCTTATCATAACTGTTAAATAATTGCGTACCCTTGAAAGTTTGTGTTTACCTCTTTGAATTGAAGTCTTAAAAAGCCGCGCCATAAGAGCAACTTAATTTATGCTTTAGCCATGCATTTACCTAAAATAATATTTAAATAACAAGTTTAATTTGTTTCATCGTATTACTTTCAGCATCATTTTTTCAATTCATTTAAAAAGATTAATTGTACCAACATAGTTGAGTTTAGCAAAAAAAATTAGTTCTTCACAATATAATGAAACTAAGTTCGAATTCTTATTAAGAGAGGTATTCATACTGAGTGCCTCGGTTATATTTCGAATAATATTGTCTTTTATAAAAGAATACCTATGAGTAATTAAAAAAAAATTTAATAGTGATTGATTTTATTACATGATGATTGATATTATACTTGTTAATTTTTAAAATTACGTGAATAATTTAGAGATTAATAGTAAAAGTTTTTAACTCTTATTGCTGTGCGGTGGCATTAATTTACATGCGCCCGCTCTTTGATTCATGACAAAAGCATGTTCTAGTCTTTAACTTTGTTTTCACTCAATTTCGCTTTTTGAGCATAAAAAAATATTTAAATATGTTCTCTCCAAATTCGGTCAATATATATGAAACTGAGAAGGATTTGGGGCGGGCTAATCTATATTTAAATTTTGAATCCTCAATCAAACACTCTTCATGTGTATATACGATGTGAAAAAAAAAAAAAAAAACCTATGTGCTTGGGCACAGCATCATCAGGGAGAGTGTGCATATCCTCTGGACTTTGGGATTGAAGTGAGGGGCCACAATCAAAACCTAATTAGCTAAGCTTGCTTTTGGTCTCTATATTCTGCGATTTATTGATTGCTCTTGGTCCCTCCCTTTGACAAAACAGCCAATACTATTGTTTCTTCTCACAAAACTTGTTCTTGCTCATCTGTCAATGTCAACGAAAGTTGCGTTGTGGTTAAAACTCAGCCTGTGCATTTATGAACAGCATTATGTGAAGCTGAAAACTCAACCCCAAATCTTGCATCAATCTTCGCTCTATAGTCTATAATGAAAATCACTGCAACACAGTGTGTTCCTGAACTATACTGAGGGGGCGCTACATTTATGTTTTATTTTAAAGCAAGTTTTCACATGTTGATTTTTTTTTTTTTGGGTAAAAACACGTGATTTTATGTTCAGCCGAAATGGCAATGCTTCGGTAGGGGTTTAGCGAGAAGTTGAAAACCATATTCGAACTACATAGATCCGCTCGACGGAACAACATAAGGATTAAGAATTAAGATCATTTGAAGAATGACGTAATTAATATTTTCTGCGTCTGACGACAAAAATCCATTAAAGCTAATACCTATATACGTACACGTACAAGTAAAAAGGATGCGTCGTCTAGCTATATAGCTGGATCGTTTAACCTTACACGCTGCATGCAGCAGAAAGTGGGTCATGTTCTGTATACAGAAAGAGAAGAAAAAGATCCCAATTATAGCGGTTGTCAAAAATGATGCATGTTGCGCTGGGCATACGGAAACTTAAAGCAATGGATCGAAGTGGATAGTCCGTATAACAAAGCGTACTTCATTTAAGAGAGGAGGAGGGTGGTGGTGGTGGTGGGTTTTCTGGTGAGATGGGATTGGTTTCCAGTTTGGAGGATGGTGTGTGGTGGGGCTGCCTCCTTGATTGCACCAAATATCATTAATATTGTTGCTCTTGTTCTTGAACCAGACAAAGACCCTCTTCATCGATTGATTCAACAGTGTCGTTGTATATGCGGTATGGCCTCGACAGGAATACAGATTGTTATATATTCAACCCTCTCGAAATGGAGCCTGCGGACAGTCAATCTGGATCCTCTATCTTTCATACATGAAGGGAAGCTAGCTACTGTGTCATGTCGTCTTAAAAATTTACAGGTCCCTTATATGGAAATGAATGGACAAAAGGGTGACACGTGGGTTTAGTTAGTGCCAGAGTCTTGTGCCATATACGTAAGTGTGTAAAGGCACGTGATTTTCCCAATATATATACTCCCTCCTCGTGGTCATGGCATAATTTTTTAAATAATATTCAAAAAATATTTTTAGATTTATTATGGAAGGACATATTTAAACTTTTACACACTTTTATTTCTTTTATTTTTTATTGATATTAATAAGATTAATATAAATAACTTATAAAGAAGAATGAAAAAGTATAAAAGTATGGAGCTGGTGCATAAATAAGTGTGGGTGTGTGTGGACAATAAATAGGATACCAAATAGGGAGATGGACGTGAGGGTCGATTTTATTTCCTGTTAGCTTAAGACGTCCCTACATAAAAACTACGACCAAGCTAACCTTTCTCATTGGATATGAATTCCGTTGAGCATAGGGGATATTGAATTTTTTTTTATTGTATTAAATGAAAACAATTAAACGGCTATAATTTTCTCAAATTTATACTAGAAACTTGATTATTATATGCATGAGATCATAGACATTTGTATTTATGACATCCACATTTTTTATGAGAGTGCTAGAAAATATGAGATATTTTTAGTTTTTTAATGTGCAATTAATGAGTTTTTTTTAATATCCTAGATAAGTAAATCAAACCCTTCACCTTTAAATAAAGCTTCCTATTAAATAGTTGGCCAGTAATGAAGATTATCTTTCTCCCTTGAGTTACTGAGGGCAAAGGACGAACAACTCCCAATCAGATTATTACATATACAAGAAACGTGATTAGAATGGTAAAAGGCCACCCATCTATTTTTCCCCCCATATTCTTTCGTTCTAATTTAAGGTTTACTAGTAAAGCTAGACATTTTTTTTATGGAAGACGCACAAAATTTGAAACGAAGCCCACATTACTTGTAATTTATAGACACTGTTATCGTAGATTTTATATTTTGTATTGATATTGATTTAGAAATTATATTTATTTTTTAAAGAAAAATATTGTATATACACGTATACGTAACATGTTTACAGAAATTAAAATTTAGTCATGAATCCAAGAATATTTAATTTATATTGACTTGTGGTAAAATTAGTGATGATCTTATGTGAACAAAGTCAGGTCAAGTTCTCCAAACAAATTCAATCCCTTTATGATTTCAAACTTGACTATCATCTTCTAATTGGTGTGTAGTCTCTTTATTTGGATGTTCCCAAATTTAATATGGGTATTCATTATTTGTCAATTGATTCGGATGTTGACAAGTGATGAGGCATTTTATTTTTAACACGTCTATTAATCTTTATCGTGACTTATTTTAATCTTATCTGGTAATGCAAGCATTAATGTAGAGAATATTGGAATCTCAAGTGTGTAATCTGACTTAATTTGGTATGGAAAAAAAGATCTCATATTGAATATAGTTAGGTTGGAAAAGAGATATACAAATGAAAAGGACTCATAATTAAATATCTAAAAACTTTGGATTAACAAAGGGATGTCCTGCTCACTTATATATGTGTGTGTATTTTCTTATAGCAGTTAACAACCCCAGCTCTATTTTATCTCCTTCTAAGATGCTTCCCAGGCCCAACAAATTAAGAATGAATTATATTCTCATAAATTTTGTATAAATTAATTATATGAGAAACTTAATTCAAGAATTATATTATTAATGAAACAAGTGTAGAATCAAAACAATAATTTAACCATTCATTGGTTCGGCATGGTTTTAAAATGTCATAATAAAGAATATATATATATATATTTTTTTTTTTTCATCCTGATAAACTCAAATGTTTGTCTGTGAGTGGAAGTTGTGGGGTTTAAGGTTTTAGTGATAATGTGCTGGGAATTTGCATTTGAAGTGGCTGAATGGTTTTATGTTGATGTGAGAGTTAGGTCTCTGAATGCATATACATATGGAGACAACTTAATTAGTGGAGTACGTCTAATTTCTAAATGGAATAGATCCAATATGCACTTGATTCTATGGGTTCCCATATGAGAAAATTAAACAAAAATCAGTTTTAATTTGCAACATCTACTGGAAAAATGAGAACATTGAGAAAATCTATTTTGCAATAGGATCAAATGGCATAATTAACAACTTGTTCGGAGCCCTTTTTTTTTTGTTGGCAATGCTTATAATATATACAAGGATGGAATAAGATTTTATATATATATATATATGAGGCCTCGCGTTATATTATGTCTTATAAAAAAATGAAGGCCCTATATGTAATTAATTATATAATTCAATCAAGTATATGATTTATTAACTCGGTCAATGGATTGCCACTATATTGAATATTCTGTTCAAAAATGAATCAGTGTAATGAAAAATGAAATAGACAAATCAACGTGAATAGTATAATTTTGTCACGCGTTTTAAATTATATATAAAGAGATATATATATTTTTTGAGCAAAATACATATAAAGAGATATATATTGACTGTTAATTTGGGTGCTGTGAATTTATCACTGCTGTTTAAATAATTAAATATAAAAGAATCCAAAATCTCTCGACGAGCCAAGTTGTCATCACAATAATTGAGGACACATCCACTATCGTCTGCCATTCCAGAAGCCAATGGCCAAATAATTTAATTTTGGTGCGTTACGTGGTGTGTGCGTTTCAATTACGTTCTTACTTTAATAATGAAAGAGGACTTTTATTATAATTTTTTCAATAAAGAATAATATATCAGGATACGGTATCAATCATTGCCCATCTATATTTTAAAAATGCTGACGTCAGTGCGGAGAGATTTAAAGGACTCGTATGAGATAACTAGTGAGCAATTTTTTATCCTTATAAAGGAAAAGAAAGAGAACGGGAAGTCAATAATATTAAAATGCGAGGAGGGCCCAATTGAAATAATTGGAATAATACACTCCACCGGTGTCACGAGATAGTATGTTTTGTTAATTATAGGGATTAACTTACATTAATAATTAAAATAATTTTTTTTAAAATATCATTTAAGGACTATTGAGAGTATTTAATATCAATTAAAGATTAAAAAATTTTAAAATATCACTGCAAAATCAAGGATTGGTTTGAAAATAATTTTAAATGAAAAAAATCATAATGCCCCTACTTTTTAAAACAAAATTGATAAGCAATAATTTATAAATTAATAAATACTTATTTACATTTAATAAGAATTTATTTATTAACTGACAAGTTTAATAATATAAAAAAACTTGGTTGTCGAGGAGATGCTAATAGATTATGTTTTAATGAGTAACAATTTATTAATTAATAAATATACATTCACATTTAATGAAAAGTCATTCACTAATTGACAAGTTTAATAATATAAAAGAACTTGATTGTGAAAATGGATAAGTATAAATCATGTTTCAATAAGTAATTATTTATTAATTAATAAATATCATTCGCATTTAATAAGAAGTCATTTTCCAATTGACAATTTTAAGAATTTGAAAGAACTTGATTGTGGATAGGAACAAGTGTAAATCATATTTTAATAAGTAATTATTTGTTAATTGATAAATACTCATTCACATTTAATAATAAATCATTCACAAATTGACAAATTAAAAATAAATAGAGGTACTATGGTCTTTTTATATAATTATTTTTTCAAATCAATTCCCTAATATTATAGTGGTATTTCAAAATTGTTTGGTCCTTATTTAATATTAAATTTCTTCCATAATCCTGATATTTTTCCCTTTTCAAGGGATCTATAGTCTTTTTTTTTTCCCTTTTCCTTCCAATTGTTTGGGGCTGGGGTTCCAACGCCCCAGGTCATTACTTCATGCCAACTCTCTCTATATTATGAGTCATGACCCCCAGACTAATTCGAATGGTTTATACCCATGAATCAAGTGCGGGTTTGTTTTTCCATCTCCAGATCTCATGCGATCATATACTCTTCCTTCCAATCTAGAGATGAGAAAACAAACCCGCACTTGATTCATAGGCTTAAAGGAGGAGTCAGTTTCTCTCCATATATTGCAAATTTCCTCAATTATAAATTTAAACCGATTAAATTAAATCTATATTTTTACAAATTATTAAATATAAATTATCAAATTTAATTTAACAGTATAGGTTCGCAATGTATTTTACTTCTCAAAGGAGAAAATCTAACTTCATAAAAAGAAGTGCTTTAAAATGTTTGATCACTAAAACATTTTACTGTTTATAAAGTCTAGCCCTTGAGATCGCTGATTTAGTATTGATATTTTAAATTGTCTTATATATTCATATTGGTAACATATTTGATATAAATACTTATTGATACTTTTTGATATGTATTTGATATTGTAGATTGTAAATCAATACTTCAAAGCCAATATTTCAAGGTTATTTATGAAAAAATTAAATTTCATTAAATATTATAATATTAATGTTTTTTAAATATTTTTTTGTTATTTATTTTTAAAGTCATGGATATAATAAAAAGATAGGGATTATATTTTATTAACTATAATGACGTAAGAATGTAATCTTTTAACCTATAAGCCCTGAGCAGGGACCTCTTAATAAAGACTAAATGATAAGCAATCAAATATAGATAAAATAAAAATATAATTAATATAATTATAAATAATTATATAAATATATTAGTTTGGATATTTTATGAATTGAAATTATACTTTTACTATCATGCGTGTGTCGTGCGCCGGTCTCCAATGTCTAGCCTATATTTTTAGCTGAGCCTGAAGAGTTCGCATAAGGGGAAAACAATGCCACAAACCTTCCTGCAAATCAAGTCCCAACCCGAGCAGCTCCTTTCTCGTATGGTTGTGCCTTGCCTCAGCTTCTAATCGAATCTTTCGAGTCTTCAGTGATGTGGGATAATATTTAGTAATAAAAAAATTATATATAAATTTCATAAAAGTAAATTTATTCATAAATAAATCTTAAAAAATTTGAAAACTAAATTTAAGTTTCATAAACTTGGGCATGATTTAAAATTAACTTTAAAAATTAATAAAATCCTTATAAAACATACATAACATCGTTCAAATAAGTTTGAGTTTAATCATTGAATAAATGAAATTATAATTATAAAAAATTAAAATTATAGTCATAAATTATTAAAAAATAATTATAAATTATTTAACTGATATAATAAATATATGTTTCATAAATATATTATTATTTTTATTTTATTTTTAAATTATATTAAGGTTTCAAAAAACTTAGTCATAATCTTGAATTTTACAAGAAATATTTATAAATAAATCAGCTGACCTATATGTAATTTTTACTATTATTACTTAAGAACTTTTTATTATTATTATTTTTTTAATTTACCAGCAGAAACTTTTGGTTGAACCATAAAAGACAACAGCGTCGACAGCAGGATTCGAACCTGCGCAGGCAGAGCCCAACAGATTTCGAGTCTGTCTCCTTAACCACTCGGACATATCGACGGCATTGGTGTCCTTTTAATTTATAAACTATATCTCTGTTTTCACGTTACTACAGAATCAAGAGTTAACATGTTCGTAACAGACGATTTTAATTTCTATTAGGATTTTAATTATTCTTTTAAAAATATTTATGAGTTAAAATATGAATTCATTTTTATTTTCAGCTTTTTTTTGTTCTAACTTTACGTAGGAACTTTATCTTAAATTTCATTTCCACCTTTTGTTTTCCTTGGGGTTTTTTTTTTTTTTTCAATGGGCCAGTTACCCATAATACCTCAACACACACCCATCACATTTCCCGCACTTGCATGGAGCACACAATCTTCTCATCAGAGGGTCACTGGGCCATAAAAACCTTGACATTTTCTCAAATTCAAGTTGTTGTTTTCCTTTTGTTTTCTTTCATTTTTATGTGATCATTTAATTTGACACGCTCACAAGATTCTTGGAAGTTGGTGTTCGAAAGCTTTAGGATGGTGCTACGAGGAAATACAAAATGCTTGCAAATAAGACCCTGGATAACAAGATTGGCAGAACATGTCTTGAAAATCCCGTTATCCTTGTTCATCACTCATCCTTAAATTCAACCGCTTGTAGGATAGAAGTTCTTTGAGACTTACCAGCATTTTCTCAGATACCACTGGATAGATACAGCTGGCGACCTTTTGAGTTACTCTTACCAAGTAGCATGGCTTTACTATAACATCCACAATCTACAGACAATTTGGAATCACCATAATGCCGGACTGTTTTGGTAATGAATAAAGCCGTCAATTATATGCACTGGACTGTTCGATGTCTTCTTTCATACTACAATCTACTGACAATTTGGAATCAATAATGCAATTTCTTTCATTCTTCTTCAGGCAGCAAATATTTTCCAAAACATATCACAGGCTGGTCTTCTTGAGAAGGCATGGAAACAATTTAAGATGCCTAAGTTCAGGCCTGTTCAAACTCAAGATCAAGCTTTAAGCTATATGGTCTGATGAACTCCAAGTACTCAACACATACATCTTGAAAATGGAAGGCATTTCAAGCAACAAGATCAGCTTCATCTCGATCTGGGGGAACCACATCTAATCTCATCATACTCCTATAATCATCAGGAATGGGAGCTCCAGCATGCACACACAGTTCCACCACAGCCGGAGCCTTGCCATAATACCTCTTCAGATTGTTATTCAAAGCAGGGCCATTCAGATCCTGAACATGCCACACATAATTTGGACCTACGAGATCATCTATTATGGCTTCTTGCCATGCATGTAAACCATTTCGAGACTGATGCTTGGATGCCTTGCATATTCTTACTTTGTGTCCCTTAGGACCCACCTGGACCTCAGGGCAATATCCACAAGTATTTACACTATACTTCTCCATTATTTTCCTTGCTCCTGATGTCATCCCAAAATAAGAGTTCAGCGTCTTGATACCTAAATTCCTTAATGTTTTCCTTTCTTCATTGCTCAACTGCTCCGAACACTTTATGCCATTCTCCACCAAATTCTTCATCTCATCTAAAGGATTGTTCAATATCAAACATGACTCGGCTAAAGAATTGACATTCTCAAAAGAAAAGTTTCTTGTAGCTTCGTCCTCATCCATAACAGTCTCAAAATCTACTATTCTTCCTTCAATACAATATACAGGTTTTGTTCTCCTTTTAGTGGGATACTTTTCAAGGTCAAGACCAGCTTGTATACAGAGTTCTATGATGGCAGGAATACGAGGAACAGAATGCTTCTCATCATGCACAACTCTTGGTTTGCCAACACGGTCAAAAAGATGATAGCATTTTGGAAAGAAGACCACATCTTGAAACCCTCCCCTTCTCCAAACATGCATTGCATTCCGGCAACCACTCTTTGGTCCTGTACATGTCCGGATTTCATGACCCACTTGCCCAATGTGAACCTCTTTACAGAATCTAATGGGAAACAAATAAATGAGAAGCCGATAAGTAAAAGCTGATATAAATTGTTAAATTTACACTTGAAAACTCATAGGCAAGTTGAAGGACTGAGATCAATAACACAAGATAATGAAGATTCAGTATTATGGTGAATTTAGGGAGACCTATTCACATTCATGTGCTCTAGTTATCACATTAAAATCAGCTTTTTGCTGCTGCTGCTGGTGATAATCATTGCTATAGCTTATTATCTTTCCATATTCATGCTTCACAGGAAATTAATTTCGAGGCAAACCTTAAATGAGGTAAACAGTCTAGTGATAAAACTCCAGAAGCAGAACACGCGATCCAAATCTCTATAGCCATGTGGGATGATGATGCAATGAGGCACGGATTTCATAAAGGAACACGGAACTCATTCAGTTAAGCAAAATGAATCCCCCTAGATTGTGCAGTTCCAACTCTGAAAGGCATGTGGGAAGAAGAATCCACCAACCAAGGAAGTCAATGGTGGATGTGTGGGGAGCTATTGTGTACATGTCTAGCAATCACCTTTAAAAAGCAGCTCAAGCTCACTTGTCAACTACAAATCTGATGTTCCACTATGTCTGTAATAAAATATCTCAAATGGAAGCTATGACGTGAATTGCTTTATTTCATGTGAAGTTTAAATCCGTATCTTCATGGAATAATGTTTTCCTCTCATCTCACTTGCACATATAATCACTAACTTCTAACCTTGCTCAAAGTTTGTAATAGGAAAAAAACAAGGAAAAGCAAAATCTTATAAACAGAAAGTTTTAAACATGATGACAATGCAAGTCACAAGATCCAGATACGCTTATAATGTCCTCCTGTATATGCAATAAAAATCCACATACCTACTTGCTAGTATGACAAAGACTGACTTCTTCAAGATCAAACAAATAATCATTCATAGTCAGCTTATAAGAAAGTACAAAGGGGCAAATTAGCTACCTGCAGCGTTGGACGGGAATTATTTTGACGAGCACCGATAAACCACAGAGAAGAGATTGATGAGCTTGATAAACTCGATGAGCTACCTCGACGAGTTCAGGAACCAATAAGCCATTGTCAGGGGGTTCTTCGAGCATCCGGCAAGGCTGAGCCTTTCGAGCTTCCCTCTCCGCTTTGGCCCTTTGAATCAAAACTTTCATGGGCGTCACATATGGCTTTCTCTCATACTTTCTCCTGCTAGGCTTGGGCACGTCGCAGTACAAAGGGTCATCTGGGCCGTCTCCGTCGTTAAGCCTCATCTCCGACGAAAACAACAGGTTTCTGTTCAGACGACTGCGCAGTGACTTCAGGAGAGAAACATCCGATACGATTCTGGCGCGCATCTCCCACTGAGTTTCTTCTGTTCAATCAACGTAGTTAGGAAATGCCGCCGCCGCGAGAGTTTGTCAGAGCTTTGATGGCGGGATTGGACGGTGTAGGGAGTGGGCGGTGGGCAAAGAGAAGCTCCGTCGTCAATTCGGACAACTCAACGGAAAGAGATGAAAATGGAGGCCTGATCCAGCCCAATAAGTTTCAAGTCCAGCTCTGGCCCATAATATGAAATCAGAACCTGACCTCGCCTAGTCCTTGTTCTTCCATCTTCATCCATCCAACTCTGTCCATCGGTCCTTCTCCATCGACATTCCAGTCGACAATCTCCTTGGAATTGTAATCCTCCCAGAAAAACAAGGATAGAACATATGCAAGAAATTAGAAATAAAGAACGAAGCTATGTTATTACGATTATCAATAATTTTTCATGTTGTTTCTCGCTGATGAATAATGAGATGTGTTATTCAAATCATCAAGAGAATAAAATATAAAAGGATGGTCTCTGACAGAGCAGCGACTGTGTTCCTGGGTGAAACAAGTTCCTGCTGAAGATACCTACAAGTGCTCCTGATTTTAAATTATAAGATAATTTGAGTACTCCGTAATCTTGAAATTTAAGACAAGGTTAGACTTATTAATAAAAATGAAGTCCAAACACTTTACAAATTTATTTTTTTAAAAAATATAACATTTAAAAATATTCTTTATTTAATATAGCTTTAAATTCACACATTCAATCGTTACATTGCACTCATTTCAATTTTCTCTCAATTAGAAGGATAGGACAGTAATATTAAAAAAAATTTATTAATAAAATTTTATTTTTATCAAATTCTCTCATACTTTGAAACAATAAAATACCTCTATAATTATCTTATAATTTGGGAGGAGATATTTACATAACTAATGACATGGAAGGAAGAAAATCATTTTAGAATACATTTGTATCAGAATCAATGAGCATGATAAAAAAGATAAAAAGCTGAAATATTTAAATTTTTTATCTTTTTTAGTTAAATTTCAAGGTAATTTTAAAACGTCCATAAGAAGCAAAGAAAATTATTTTAGGTTTCAATCAAAAAATATCAAAATTAAAATCTCACATCTTATGCATTAATTCTTTTTCTCTAGTCCTCCCGAAAAAATCATACTCTTTTAATTTTATTTATAGAACATTGAAAGAAGATTAATTTTAATTATATTTACAGAGCATTTTATTATTTTTTATATTTATCTTTAATCTTATTAAATACTAAAAAATATTAAAAATAATTCTTCTCAGTCATTATTATGGAGCAAAGGTAAAAATTTATTAAATTTTAAAACAGAGTTAATGAGATTTTTTTTATATTTCAATAAAACATTAAAAGTGATTTATAAATAAATCTAAACGAAATATTTTATCTCACAGATGAGTCTTCACTCCCCACTATTAGGTGACATTCAAGAGATGACTTCCTGTTCGGCCAAACAGTGAGTGAGTAAGTTGTTTTTGGGGAAAAATTAGAGCAAATTTTTGGTGTCAAGGTAATTCAAAACATTCCTTTTTTTGCCAATACTCATTCTACAGACACAGTTATGATTCTCAAAGGGATAGTTGTGCTGGAGACTTTGACAACATTCTTCCCATATAAAAAAACGCATGACATACAATCAAATATCTTGGCCGTGTGCGGCTTTAACCATGCAGTCCACATTTTTAGCCTTCCCCTTCCTCTCTGTATCTCTGAGATGGCACTTTTGGTCGTATTCACAAACACTAAAATGGCTCGATGATCGGGTTTGGGTTTACCTTGTTACAATTCACAAGTTCTGCTACATACATCAACAAACCACTTCGAAATCATATAGGATTGGCACATCTAAACTGCTCCAACCACATTCATCTGAGTTACCTTACGATGTAACGGTAGACCTTAGTAGTTCCCATAAGTTCGGCGTCACTGATTCCTTATCACAAACTGAATGCTTAGGCTTGGCTTCCGCCATTTGAACAGAATCAAATGAGACTTGGCTGCAACTTTTGGGTATATTAGTGCCTTCGTAAGCTTTACATATGTAGCTTATAAAGTTTTCATAATCCTGCGGCACAAAAAAAATCTAACTTTTTAGAAAAATGGATGGGTATCAATTTGTCATTTCACTTTTGTCTATAGCTATTATTCAGCACAACAAAAGGCATGTAAATAGTAGAACTAACCTCATATAGTGGTTCCCCATCCACAACTACCCATGGAACATACTTATGAGGAGGCTGCAGAGCATTTGTTTCGGCAGCATACTTAAGCTCCAGCTACATAAAAATGGTAACTTCTGCTTGAGAAGGTTTTGGCCAAATATGATTCATGGATCGAAAAGCTATCTGCCATAACTTTTTGAATATCCAGAGAAAGAATTCACATTTTGTGAGTTCGGCCATAATTGAAAAGAAGACTTTTGATACTTTATCTTAAAAGAGAGATGAATATTTAGAAGCAAAACGTTGGAAGTTCCATAATTCTGCTTTTGTAATAGTTGCAGACTTGTAACAAAGGAGCAGAGTCTTGTATCAGAAGAAAGTGGTTCGAAGATCACCTCAATGTTACCGCGTCAGAGTTGTGTACTTTAACAAAACAAGGACCATGCTAAAGGTTTTCTTTTTTCTTTTTTTGTTAAGCTCAGTTAAAATTACTCTTTATTGGTTATCCCATACAGACTTGAAGAAAGAAACAAGCAGTTCATGAGCACATCACACTGATAGATAAAACCATTGTCAGATGTATTCAGTAGTTTAAGCATCAGGTTCACTCTCCCAATTTGACCAGGGTTTCAAACTGTAGAAACTAAGCTTCTCTTCAAAATTTCCTTTTTAAACAAGGAACAAAATATGCTACCAAAATTCTTCATTGCTATGAACAGATTACTTAGGTGGCGTAAGCAAGCCACATTCTTAACACAGTTCAGCTTTTCTATTTCTCAAGTATCCACAAAGTTTCTTTCTTTTAGCGGTATTTGTGAAACTTAAAAGTTTTCAAGTGTTTGGAACATAAATGTTATTAAAGAGAATCAGATAACATCCAAGCCTTGTGTCTTGACCTCACTGACAAAATAGTTTGACCAATAGTAGGGATGGCAACTTCATGGCAAAGAAAGCTGCAAATTAGCATGAATTACAAACTACTGATACTTAACCAGAAGCGTCAACACACTGCAAGGATATGGGGCCCAAATAAAAACATAGCAAGGACAAAACACTGAATTTTAACAAGAATCAGAGAAAATCACAAACCTCTTTTCCATGTTCACTGGTATAGCATTTATCAATAGGTTTTGGATCCAGATCCAGTTTCTGAAAGCATGATTCCCACTCTCGGTACTTGAACTCATACACTAAAGCCTCGACACAGTATATGAAAGGAAAATGTTCATTCTGCCAAAAAACGAATATATTTAGATACTAAGAGTGCGACATACATGTAATTAAAGTTATTGTTATATTGAATCAATAGTAAGATCAAACTTAGAATGATTCGTAACTTAAGCATAATGAGAGGAATTCTGACATATCATCAGGGAATACATCTCTGAAGAAAATGTTCTGTTTGCTGTAGTTTGTAAACCCATTAATATCTTTCCTTTTTATTTCTCAACTCACCTTATTAATTACAGATCCTTTCATCGCCAGATCCCATTCAAAGAAATACTAACACTTGAACCAAAAAGGATATAAAAAAAAAAAAAAGTAGTGTTCCCCGTTGATGAATCAGTTTGGACATTGATTTCTCAGTCTTTCTCGCTATCAAAGAGGAAGTCTTACCAGGTCAGGCCAGGTATCAATCGCGCACGCTTCCACAGTGTTCAGTAAGCACTCAAAAGGGCCATGCTGCAATCGTCGTGAAACCCAAAAGGATTAAAAGAAGAAGAAGAAGAAGAAGAAGAAGAAGAATCAGCGGCATGTTAAATTCAGCCAAATGAAACACATAAACCCAGTTATGAGGTGACAGTGCCAACTGAGAGAGAGAGGGAGGGAGAGAGTAAAACCAACAATACAAAGAGAAACCAAAGACCAATTCGATAGGAATTTAAAAATAATTCGAGCCTTAAAACCAAGCAGGCACCACCATAGCAAATTGGGGGAGGGAATGTTCATTTGAAATACCTGACAATCAAAGGTGTTGTTTCCCCTGAGCTTGGCATTACCCCATGGAAAAAGCTTGAGATCGACGACGGAGATAAGGTCGTCCTCGAAGAGCTTGACGAGGTAATTGACGATGAAATTAGCACTGTAAGGGCACAGGCTTTCATAGTATAAACCGACGGAAACCTTCTGAGAATGGGAGGAGGGCAAGACTCTGGAAGGTGAGGAGGGTGAGAACAAGGCAGAGATGGAAAGGCACAAAATAAGAGATGGGGTCATCTTCCAATAACCCATGGTCAAGGGAGCTGAATCGGAGAGCTGCGAGGAAAATGGAAGTTACGCAGCCACTTTGGAGCACAGGAGCAGTGGAAAGGGTAAAATTTACAGCGCCATTTTCGCATGCTAAAAGGATCAGACAGCGAATCACCTGGATTTAGGTTCACAGATGGATTTTTATTTGTTGTCTAAACCACGATCCGGGCGTCACGGCTGTTCGGTCGCATGCACGCCACCCGAGTCCCCCCGATCCCTCGAAACGATCTGTCAGGGAGTCGTTTTTTGCTTTGTCCTTACTGCGGTGTTGTTACTAGCCGCGGATGATTCTGGTTGTACCTTTCTCTAAGGCGTTTGGTGACACTCAAAAGTTCAAGTTATATTTAAAATTTGTTTTTATTAAATTCAAAAAATAATTAAATCTTTCAGATGTATTTTTATTAAATGTAAATTAAAAATTAAGCATACACTTAATTTTTCATTAGTTAAATATTTAATTGATAAAGTTCACAAAAATAAATACACAATTCTGTGTCACTGTTATTTTTTGTTTTTTTGGCCACGTCGTAACAAAGAGCAATGTTCAACCGCTGGGCAGCTAAATAGGTGCCTTGGTTTCACTAAACATTATCAAAAATTCATACATTTGGCTTTTCGTTTGGTTTTTCTTTTAAACAAGTTGGCCAGACGAAGCTTGGAAGTTAGATATTACATCAATAACAAATAGAGCAAAATAAAGTACTCCCTAACAGCTCACGAGAACATTTAAGTATAATTGATCTTTACGAATAAAATCAACACAACCACTAAGAAATAAAGTTGACCAATGTGATCTCAGAACTCTATCAATGCCTTGTTTTAGTTATGATATTAGCACACCTTATGACATTCCGAAAGGTATGATAAACTTAGACCTCTAACTTCTTGTAAATAAATTCTTTGGTGTCCCCCAATAATTCTTGCAATGATGGATCTAGATAACTATATCACATCAGCAAATTGAATGCACAAATAGAATCAGTATAAATCCTCACCTTGTTATAACCTAGTTGTTCTGCCACCATGAGTCTAGTTTGGATGGCTAAAATTTCTACCCATACAAACTAAGCAAATCTAAGGTTTCTATAGAAACCAATGATCCAATTTCCAGGGAAGTCACAAATAACCCCATTGTATACTACTTTATCTCAATCTCTGATTGACCTATCTGCATCAATATGAAACGTATTTTTTGTGGGTGGCGTCCATGTTGCTTCTGTCATCAATCCACACTGAAAAATAGAGCGTTGGAGTTTCACAAGTATGGTATTAACCATCAGCAAGTAATTGCAATGTTGTATAATCTCCATATTACTAATACTAACTCTTCTAAAAATAAGACAATAACAGGATTTCCAAAGTGCCCAGCAAACAAAACTAAAAGTTTTTGTCTATTACCACTTGGAAAAATCACTATTTGCAAAGTTGGATCTAATGTTTCTCCACAACCATCCCTGCAAATTATCACCTAATAAATTAGAAATATTGTTAGGATTTAAAATGAAACCACACATTCCTCGCTCCCTCACAGTCACAAATTATAATACTAAAAAGGACAAGTCACAAAATCTGATAAACCTCTTATCTCTTGAGGTGAATTCGTGCATAGTCTCTTATGGGTTACTTGCCACACAAACATTTTCACTTCTTCTAGGAGTTGCCATTTGTAACAGCTCAAAATTTTAACCACTGCTTAGGTGAGTTAAAATAGGTTAATTAAATAAAATAATGTGGTGTGTGATTAAAGAGGTATAGCAAATGTTTTGGGTTGTGATTCTAACCTTAAATTCTGGTCTAAAGCAAAGATGGGTCATTTAGACCTCGAAAAGGAAGAAAATTATAGAGTATGGCTTCATGCCACATACCACGGTGTGCGTCACCTTTGCCATGACGCACATATCGCAACTCATGAAGGGATTACCTCTCTGTGGCACATGGTTGAAATTTTTCAATCATAAGACTGCATCAGAGTTTTAAAAAAGAGAAAGAAATAAAAAGTAAATGTAGAGCTAAGGATTGCTAAGGCTTGTAAAATTGAAGATCTAGAAGCATTTTAAAGCCATCAAACACCAAAGCAATATCTCTAAGCTCTTCCTTCTCTTCCACTTTCATTTTTTTTGAAGATTCGAGCTCTCTGTATTGGGATGATGATTTTTTATCGATAATACTATGAGTCTAAATCTATTGATTTAAATAAAATTAATGAGAGTGTTTTAGGTTATTTAAACTTAGTAGTAATAACTATATGAATTTTGGTGGTTGTAAGGTAATAGATGCTCAAAAATTTTCATTAAATAGAGTTGTTGAAGGTGTTTGATAGCCATCAATAATAGTTTAATGAGTTACTGGAACTAATGTGAGATAAAGAAAGTTAATAAACTCTATGAGTAAGCTTGGATATGAGAGATTGGAACTTTGGTAGTTTTGACATTGTTGAAAAATGTTAGAAATTATCCTAACAAGGATATTAATAGTTGTTAGTATGGTTAAATTGTAGATTAACACTTGTTAGCACCAAATTGAGCTAATCGAAGCATTAAAAGTGTTGGTTATTGAGGGATAAACTTTTAACCTCCCAAAAGTTTAAGGTAACTAAAAAAAATTTAGTTTGTGCATTTATTTAATTAATTACTTGTATTTGTGAACTTGTTTGGAAAATCATGATAAGTACAAGCTTTGTTTTTTGATGCAAGTGTGATAGTTTAAGCAAGATCATATGTGATGTGTGAAAAGGAAAATATGAATGGAATGAATGAATGCTATATGATGATTGGGAACATGTGTATGGATATGATTGAATGTTTTGTTGAATTATGCAACATAAAATGTAGGGATATGAGTCGTATTTGCGAATTAATGAGCATGATGATTAAGATTGCATGCCTTTAAGATGGTATGGCTTTGCACACTTCTCCAACCACCCAGTTTAAAAGGGATTGAGATATTAGCCTAATGTTCCAATTACCATTCGATAAAATAAAGTCACGTACTATGGCATTAGATACAACTCCCTCAAGATCACTAGTGACATAGTGACAAAGAGGATGTCCCAACTTTGACCACATATTAATCCAGAAAGTTATATTTTGATTACAGTGAATTTTCTTCCTAGTGCTATCTAAAAAGGATTCCCACACAATTGTGATTGATCTCCAAGTCAATGAGGCATTTATTTTCTTCAGAACAAGAGGTAGAATCCCACTTCGACAACCATACTCAACCTTAAAAGCACAAACCCAAAAAGCCTCTCCTTTAGATACCAACCCCCAACACAATTTCATAATAAAAGCTTCATGTTGTTGCCAAAGTCTCTTAAAACTTAAGACTAGTAATTTCTTACCTTTCATAATATTATCCCATACAATAAAATGTAATTTTTTGCTTTCCTCATTGTGATTCTACAAAAAATTTCTACTGACCCTCTCAATCTTATTTAGGGTACCTTAAAGATCAATGCAGCCTTCATCTGATAGAATAAGAGGGTCAAGAAGACCAATTTAATGAGAATGGCCCAACCAACCATGCTCAAGAATTTTCCCTCACAAGAGGAAAGTTTTCATTGACCTTCTGCACAATAAGAGCAAAAATGACTCTCATTACTCGACCATGATTGATAAGGGCCTCATGTATTTCTTCAAGTATGAGGTGAGTCTAATCTCAAGCATCTAACTCAATTACACCGCTTTGTTGTGGCAAATATTTTTTAAGTGAAACATCTTGAATTTGTCTAGTCTATTCCATGACATAATACTGTGTAGAAATCCTATATGACCCTTCTCATTATTTCTACTTTCTCAAAACTTACCTTAACAAAAAGAACTAGATTATCCGCAAAAAATAGATGTGACGGAGAAGGACCTTCCACAACACATGATGCCTTAACATATTGGCTTGGAAGTCTCATACAAAAAAAAAGATATAGTAAATCACCTTATTAGACTTCTCTTGTAGGAAAAAATGTTAATCCCTCCTCTCAATTCCAAAGTACCCTTACGATAGAAAAAATGATGCATGCCATCATGAGAGAGATAAATGACTCATTTAAGTCGATGCACCTAAATGCATCTTCAATAAATCTCCATTTAAGTCCATCACAAGCTTTCTTAATATCCACTTTAATGGCCATGAAACCACTTTTTCTCCTACATGTCTTAGTCATGTGTATAGCTTCTCAAGCTAAGATAATACTCTCACAACTAGATTTATCTCCAATAAAACTACACTATTTGTCACTTTATCAATTTTTCCATTATAAACTCTAATATCAATGAGTTTCATCACAATCTTAAAATTAATAGTGCATAGAGATATTGGTCTCATCTCTTTAAGGTGATATGGATTTTCCACCTTCTATAAGAGGACAATATTGGTTTGATTGATTTCTTTCAGCCTATTCAAATCTTGGAAGATATTTCTGACTAATGAGCAAATCTTTTCACCAACTACATTTAATTGAGACTGAAAAAAGTGAGGTTGTAAGCCATCCAGACCCGATGCTTTAAAGGTTCCATAGAAAAAGTAGCATTATTTATCTCAATATCATCAACTTCTCCTTGATTCCACAATAATTACAAGCATAGGAGTTGATGGAAAGTTGCAAACCAATTTTACACTGGTAGAAGGGAGGGATCACAAGTATATAGATTCTTGTGAAAATCACATGCCATAATTTTAAGTTCCCTCGAATCATCTACCATGTCCCTTATCATTTTTTAAGGAGGCAATGAAATGTCTCTTATTCTTGACCATAACAGGGGCATGAAAGAATTGATATTTTGATCGCCCCACCGAAGCCAATGACAATTAGATTTTTAAAACCACAATATCTCTTTTTGGAGGGCAAGTCCTTGGTACTCTTTCCACATATTGCCATTCAAGTCTAACTAACTTATTTCAATCATTTACTCTTTTTTCCATGTTAATGCATTCAAGTTTATGTAGTATATGCCTTTTTTTCTTAGGTATGTTCCCCACACAGTCTTCATTCTAGTAATTCGCTGCTACTTGGTACTCCTTCATCCTTTCATTCTACTCCTTATTAGCTCAAGCATCCTCAACAATTGTCTCTAATTTATCTTCCAAGGCCCAAGCTACTTGATATATGAAACATTTCTCACCATTTCTCAATCTCATCCTAGATCCAGTATCCACTACCACTACCTAATGCTTAGATTGAAATTTTAGATCATAAAGAGCTATAAAATTTGGAAACAGTGTCTTAAAGAATATTATTTAATGCCCAATCCAAATGTTCTCTAATGCCTTCTCACTCCCAAGCAAACATGTTCCCTAATGTCTTCATAACAAGGAGACCTAAATTATTTGCATACACTTAAAATTGTTTCATAAGTTGGGATGTGATTGTTAACATCTAAAAGTTCATGTTATTTCATCACATTGTTCTTAGATTCTAATCTATTTTGATTCAATTGTATATGTTTTTATTGCCTAAATTAGGAAAATGTGCATTTTGTTTTCGGCTTGTGTTCTTAGCTTTAATTTGATATTTTTAGCCTAATTTCATGTTATTTTGATTGAAGTTTTGATTAAAGCATTTCTGGAGCTTTGTGGATGTTTATGGAAGGCTTTTGGATGAAAAAAATCAAGAGCAAAATGAATGATTTTCGTTAGCTATAAAAATAGTACAAAACTGCCAAAGTCGTCCCAATCACCACTGTCAGAAAAACACTGCGTTTCATTTATCAGAAGCTAGGATATATATAAGCTGAGAGCTCAACCCAGAATGCGTTCTTCAGACTTTTAGACACTTTTGGAGCTTGGTTGTGCTAAGGTTTGGGCATTGGAAGAGTTGAGATCAAGAGATTGAAGCTTTGAAGACATTTGGAGCTCATTTTCTTTAGTTTTTCTATTCCTCTTCCCTTTCTCTCTTGTAATCTGAAATGGGTCCACTTATTTTGTATATTTGTAGCTTATGGATGATTATGAGTAGCTAAATCCTTTGTTATAGGATTATTTGAAACCCTTATATGGATTAACACTATATTTCTCCTCTCTTTTTGTGATTAATGATATATATGTGTTTATTTTATTCTTTCCTTAATGCTTTTACTTGATTGGCCATCATTTAGATGTTGGGTTCACTTAATTGATGCTTGAGAGGGCTAAGTTGAGTGTAGAACTTGGGTAAAATTGTGTAAGAACTTGATATTTGCATGTTGAATGGATGGTTTTGTTAGTAAGATAGATATATACTTGCTAGCCTTACATAGCCACATTAGGGTTGGTGTTTAAAATTGAGTTTTATTAATTATAACAAGAGATTAGGCAATTAATTTAACTAAACACTTGTTCATGATTTGAGAGAGCTTGTTCAAGTATTTTTAAAACCCTAGGTTAGCACTTATTTTCATTAAAAGCATTTATGAGAGAAGGTAATTTTGGTGTTATGAAATGCAAGGGGGACAATTAATCCTAGGTCTCAATTTGTGTTGGAAGTTTATGAATCACTCACTTTCTTAATTTTCTAGTGTTAGTTTCATTTACAAAATCATTTTCATCTAACTTTGTATAGCTCAACTTGATCAAATTTACTTAGTCTTTTGCTTGATCATTATTTTTGAACAAATTCTCAAGGGAACGATATTTTGCTTTCATTATATTACTTGCTACGATCCGTACACTTGCGGTGAGCAAAAGTGATCCTCCCTCCTTACTAGAAGGTGACAAAAAAGCATTGAAATCCCCTCAAGCAAGCCGAGGTTCATTACTAGCTTTAGTAATTAGACAAAAATAATGACACAAGTCTGAATGTTTAGCACATGTTATCTCACCATAAACTATTGTAATTAAAAACTAGCACTAATACATTGATCCTTTACTCGATAATAGAGAAGTTGGACATAGAGGAAGTTGGACATTAGAGGCAATATATATTAATTCAAAGACATAATTATTCCACAAGATCCAAATGCCTCATAAGAAGCTACCAGCTTCAACTCTAATCCATTTGCTAAAACCTAATCGACAATCAACAGTATTTGCTTAAGAATCACTCACATGTGTTTCTTGGAGGTACAAAATTCCAATTTCGTTTTTTCTAACTAAATCCTTGACAACAACAGGAGATGCTCGACTGCCGGTACCCCTACAATTTCAAGTTGCTATAATCATAATTAAGGTGAATTTAAAAGATAAAACTCACTGCCTCATATATTAGTTGGCATAATTCGTATATTTACATCTTGCAAGACCTTTATCTCTTTGTCCATCACAGCAAAGTGATTCCCTTTGAAAGGTACAATTTCATTGACAATATTCGACAATGTATTGCCAAGCTCATTTATAATCAAACACCCCTTTCCAATAGATTTGACCTATCCAAGCTTAATAGTTCCTTACCCTTTCGATTTAGAACTTTCTGAAAGAAATACACTCCCATTTAAAGGTTTTTAGTCTACCAATCAGATGGGCTTATTTGATTTATAAATCTACTTACAACATTATGGACTCAATGGCCTTTAAACTTAGACATACTAGTCTCTTGATGCCTAAAGCATCAAGCCTGTACTTAACATTGCACCTTTATTTCCTCCTTCTTTAATGGGCTTACGTGCCCCATTATCTAGTGTAGAGTTTTCTTTGCCTTCAGCTATATAGGTAGGCTTGACCTTTACCTTTTGATCACTTTCTTATACCTCGGGCCATTCCCCTGGTTAGCAGTCCTTGTCATTGCCTTCCTATTTTGTGAAAAGACCACTTACTTCTCTTTTTTCTTAGTCATGTCAAACACTCCTCCGTAGGTATCCTGCCTTCTTTTTATCTAAATCTTCTTCTTAGATATAAATATCAGCAAAGCGAGACTTTTGCACAAAAGGTGGTTCAGGCCTTATACCTATTCCTTCTCTCTCTACAACCCTCTAATTGGCAGTTTGATCATACCTTCTTGAGAACCAAGTCTTTATGTACTAGGGGTCAATCATCCAATAACCAAACTTCTTTCTACGGTTAGCAGGACACATATTCTATGACCCATAGAGATCAATATTCATTGTGTTTATCGGCATTGGTGTGACTTGCATCTTGTCACACCCTCTACTATAGTTGGCACACCACGAGCAAGCCTCCCTCTCATGATCATATTAGCCACGATTAAAAGCATATAAGCCTCAACCCTTCACATTCCATGTTAAAGACTGTCCCTGCAATGATGACACTCATATCCCACGTTAAAAACTTAGGCGTTAAGGGCCACTTTCATATTCTATCCCAGGCATCACTTCCACATTACTTGCTTTCTACGGATGGATCTTTAAAAGTTGAGCTATGAAGTAACTACACATATTTTATGAACACGAGCATGATTTGCTCTTATGTGTGAGTATATGGGCCATGCTTGCCCTACATTTAACTGCAAACTCATATTTTAGCATACAGACTACAATAGTTCATGTTGGCCATAAACAAAAGATTTATTTTTTCAAGTCAAAACTTAACGAGTAACACGCCTAGGCTAGGCATGACTTGGTTTTGTTACTTATATTGGGCCTAATACCAAGTTTGAATGTAGTTTTAGGCCGCGATTGAAAAAAGTACAAGTTTATTCGTCCGGCATATTTCCATCACCACGAAGATGCATGATATGCTTTCGGTTTACATTCCATTAAAATCAATATTCCCATAAAACAATATATAATTTTCTTTTTTTACTTATAGTTTTAATTTATAATGAATAAGAAAGAAATAATAAATTAACAAACACAAAAGTCTAGGTTAATAAATATAAAAATAAAATAATAATTTTTTTTCAAATACTAATACTAAGTTATTTATATTTTAAATTAAGACTAGTTAATAAAAAACGCTTATATTTTATTTTTTGATATGGAAAGTATGATAAGGGACGACGTATTTAGGCATAGGCTCACCTTTATAGCTTAACACGATGATGGATTGAATTTGAAGGGGGGCCCGATTAAAAATTTTGCCATTTTGGGTTGCATCGGTTTCAAACTTGATCGGATCGCATTAACTCTTCGGCCGACATCTTGGACTGCCTTACTACTGTCGGTTTTTTCCACCAAAGTAACCTTTTTTTTTTTTTGGGAAAATCTGTCTCAATTTAAAATGCTTCATCGGCAAAATTCGGGTCTGTAAAGTTGCCCTTGTTTTCTTACACGCAAAACTCAAACTCCTGGGCATTTTTTTATTCCTAGGCCCAAAAAAAATTGGGTTCCTCCTGGGCATTTTTTTGTTCCTGGATAAATATGACACCTTCTAACCAGGCAATTATTTTCATATTTTAACCTTAAACGAATATTTTTACATTAGGGTGTTGGAATTTAAGTATTTAATAATATTTTTAATTTGTTTCATAACTACAATCACTTGATTAAACTTTAACAAATTTCAATTTATATGGAGGCCAGCAATTAAAATTATGCATTCAATCTTTCCATTGATTCATGTTCTCAAAGTTATAAAAACCTGGTTTCATAAGTCATCTCCACATAAAATATAAAAATTTCAGTAATCTATTCTATTCTCAAATTATAATACAATTTTTTTTTGGATTTAATACATTTTTTATTTTTTTATCCTTTTAATTATTTTCCGTACATATGTGCGGGCATGATGGTCAAAAGACAAAAACGTTGGGGGCACGGTGGCAATGACCCAGGACTCTGAGAAATGTGCTCCAACTTCTTATCTGCGCCAAAATATCCTATATTCTAATCTAATCTCCCCCTTCTGGTGCTAGCAAACCCTAGATCGGATCATGTCTGGGTTCTACGGTCAAGACGGCGGTGGCTCTGCGCCTCCGCCATATGGAGCTAACGGTGGGTATGGTGCCTCTGGAGGAGGTTATGGAGGCGGTCGCGGTGGAGGAGGGTATGGAGAGGGCGGCGGCGGCGGCGGAGGAGGAGGAGGGGGACGAGGATATCAAGGAGGTGGTTATGCAGGCGGGGCTATGGAGGAGGCAGCTCTGGTGGTGGATACGGCGAGGATGATGGTGGGGTTTATGGTGGAAAGGGTAACGCTGGTGGTGGATACGGCGGTAGCGAGGGCGGAAATTATGGAGGAAAGACTGGATTTGGAGGAAATGATGGCGGAGGTTATGGAGGGAGGGGAAGTGGTGGTGGACAAGGTGGTCGAGGGAATGGGGGTTATGGTGGAGGAGCTGGAGGATACGGTGGTCGAGGTTTGTATTCTTGATTGTTTATTGGTTAATTTTCTACTCGATCATGTCCTAATTTTTTGATTTGCAGGTGGTGGTGGTGGATATCAAGGCGGAGATCGCGGGGGACGGGGAGGAGGCCGAGGTGGACGCGGTGGAAGCGGTAGAGAAGGAGATTGGCGATGCCCGAACCCAAGGTTTGAGACTCTTCTCTTTGATTTTCCTTGCATTTGTCACCTTTTCTGTACAATGTTCTGTTTTGGAATGGTTCGTGCTGGGGATTTCATCTTGTTGACTCTTACGATTTTGTATTTGATTGGAAATTGCTGCATACAGTTGTGGTAATTTGAACTTTGCGAGAAGGGTTGAATGTAACAAATGCGGTGCACCATCTCCTTCTGGTGCTAATGATCGAGGTGGCAGTGGTGGTTATGATAGGGGAGGTAGAAGCGGGGGTGGGGGATATGGCAATAATAGAGGCGGTAGATCTGGTAATTTTGAAGGGGGAAGAGGTAACGACTATAACAGCAGTAGGAATTATAACAATGATGGTAGAGGAGGCAATAGGGGTGGTTCTTTTAGTGGTAACCAAGCCAGAGAAGATGGTGGATTTGCTCAAGGTCGTCATCCCACAGCCCAGTCGTACAGTGGCGCTGGTGGAAACTACCCACCCACATATGATTCTTATGGTGGGAATGCAAATTATGGATCTGATGCAATTCCTCCAGCTACAAGCTATACTGGCGGACCTGCATCAGGCCCTCCATCTTATGGGGGCAACACAGGTGGGTATGATGGTGGTCCTGGTCCTGTTAGTCAAGGTGGATTTGGTGGAGCTCCTCCTGAACCCCCGGCTAAAGTGAAGCAATGTGATGAAAATTGTGGGGATTCTTGTGACAATGCTAGAATCTACATATCAAACTTACCACCTGATGTGACTACTGAAGAATTGAGGGACCTTTTTGGAGGCATTGGACAAGTAATGTTCTCATCTGTTGATTTCTGCACAAGTTCATTTTATGGAGGATCATTTTTGTATATTTTCAATTTGGAATTTTTGGCATTAAAGTGCCTCTTTCAGACTAAAATATATGTTGTCTTTTTTATTCCCATGCATGGGTTGACGGGTTGTATCATAAGCCTGAGTTTTTCATGACATAAGAATTACTAGGTCTGCTGTCTTTTTTGGATGGGTTGTGGTGGTGAGGTTAATCTTCCTGAAATCTATTTCTTTGTGCTACAGAGTTGGAACTAGAATGTGGTTGAGTTTTTTGTCCACATATGCTGCAAATATTTGCTTTCTGAAGTGTAATGCCTTTTGTTAACATCGCACTTTAATTTAGGTTGGAAGAATAAAGCAGAAGAGGGGTTATAAAGATCAGTGGCCTTGGAACATAAAAATATACACAGATGAAAATGGAAACAACAAGGGTGATGCTTGTCTCGCCTATGAAGATCCCTCTGCTGCTCATGCTGCTGGCGGTTTTTACAATAGTACTATATCTAACATAATCTGGTGTTATTAATGTATCTTTAACGTTTCTCAAGAACGAAGTAGTAATCATGAATCTCTGCATTTCAGATTTTGATTTAAGGGGCTACAAAATAAGTGTTACAATGGCAGAGAAATCCGCACCAAGGGCTCCTCCTGCATACGGTCATGGGTATTTTTTATTAACTTATCTACATGCTAACATACAGGATGCTAGTTCTCTCTCCGTGTGTAACTCTTAATAAGTGCTTTTGACTTGATTAGTTTTGGCATTGAATTCTGGGATTCTTGTTTCAGGTATGCTTGTTTCAAGAGCAGAATTAGAATATTGAGTTTGGATCTTATCTGTTTTTTTTTTTCAGAATAAAATGTTATGAATTTGAAAATGATTATAAAATATGGTACCATAATTTACTTAGGATGTTGCATGTTGTAGACAAACAGATATTCACATTTTCCAGTTTCTACTTTTGTATGAACTGTTCAGGTTTATGTTGGGTTAATTGATTTCATGTGATATTTTAGCCATGCCCTTATAAATTTTGATGTTAATTGTTTCTTGTGATATAGGGGCAATAGGGGTGGCTATGGAGGAGATAGACGCAGAGATAATAGAGATGGAGGTAATTCTGGGCCTGATAGACGTGATCACTATGCTGGGAACCGTTCGCGTCCATACTGAGCCTCAACATTGAGCATTTTATGTACTATGAATTGTGGTCTGAGGGATTTAGTATATTCAGTTGGCTGGTTTCTTGAATTAGAAGCAAAGAGGTAGGTTGTTCACTTACTTTGAGCAGGACCTCTTCACTCCTTTTTGTTACGATTGTTACTGGCTGGTGGGTTCTTTTAGGCAGGGTTTAATTTGATCATGTGAATGTTTTTCTAGAGGCAAGTGGATAGTCTCCAAATTGCTTGCTGCTAAGGTAGGTTGATTATTTCAGGTGAGTGCTACTTCCATGAAAATGCGCTTTATAATTTGACTGGAATTTAAGCCACATGTCATTATGTGGGCCTGTGCTTGCTTTCATTTCTCATCCCATGTGGCATCTGATGCAAGCAGATGATGGCTTTATAGAATGTTTGTGTCAGTTGTAGTTTAATGGATCAATAAATCCCAGTTAGGGTTTTCCTGAGTGTTAATTTTTTTCATTGGAAAATAAGTGGCCGACTATTCATTTTAACCTTGTGTTTGTTGATTTTACCCTGCATAGTGCATACTATGAATTTCTATACAATCACTGAGTCATCAGAGCCTAATTCATGGCCTGTGGGATGGGTATGCCATGATGGGAGGACTGGTTTCTTCATGTAATCATGCCCTGGTCCTCCGTTTAATTGGAATTTCTGGGCACTTTTGTGCTTATTGCCATGCAGTTTATGATAGAGCTACTTTAGGCTGGCCACCTGAGCATGTAGGTAACTAAAAATTGCACAGGAATTGCATCGTTTGTTGGCATACGTTATACTTATAACAAAACAGTTCGACTGACAATTTATTATTAAGCAGATAAAACGATTACACTGATTCTCAATATCTTTGATAAGATTGGACAATGAGCGAAAAGTGCTCGTTTATGGGGTGGTGTTTTAAAACTGAATATGCACTGCACTATTGTCAAATTTTATTCATTTGTTGTATTTATCTTAGAATTTTATTACGTAAATTTCAAGCTTTGGATTTTGTATGGTAGCCATTTCTGGTGGCCGGAATGAGTAAAAAAACGGTACGGAAGATATAACAATTTCATGCAGCTTGACGTTGATATTAAAAAAAAAAATCTGAATTTTGTGTTGCTATGCGGTTCGTTCGTTTGCCTGTATTCCATATGTTCATTAAATATTACACGTCAAGAATTCTGGGAGGTCGTACTTGCACATTCGTTTGTTTACCGGGAAAAGAGATGGGCAAGCTTTGAAAGTTTGCTGGAAAATATTCCTTCTGGATTCTGGTTGTGGAGATTATTTGATTTTCCAGGGTTCTGATCTTGATATCTATGCACTTGAAAAAGTTTAGTATTAATATGATTCCTATACACTTTAAAAAAAGTCAATGTAGATCATATATCCTTCCTATCGAGTGTTAAATCATGCAATCAAGATATTGCATATTTATGATTTTCATATTAAATCATTTGTCATGATTTAGTTATAAAAATGTAGACTGATATTTTAATTAGTAGAGATCTTGTTTCCTTTCTATCGACTGTTAATGCAATCAGAATGTTACATTTATGTTCTCGTGAAAAATCTTACATCATTTATGTCATGATCTAATTATAAAAAATAGACTGATATTTTAATTAAAGAATCTCCTAGCCAAGACGTAAGAAATTACATTTTAGTGTAATCGTTACATTAATGTTATTATATTAATTTAGATGCATTAAAAAAAAGAAAAATATAGTGAAGAGTGTAAAAATGGGAAGTGATGGGTCGTCTTTTGTTTATGTTGGGCGGGTTTCATTGCTCTTTCCATTTCCATTAGATCCTTCCGTCACTGTTGAGGATTCATTTTAAATTAGTACATTGTAAAAGGTAAGGAAATTACGGTGTCATTTCGGGTTTCGTTCAGATGAATTACGTAGACTTTTCAGAAATTAAGGGATTGTGTAGTTGTAAGCATCCATGCTAACGTCATATGGTTGGGTCTTAATAATTTGTTGGTAAATCGAGATAGTCAAGGAATGCAATGGTTTTGTTATTATTTTTAGCTATCTATTAAGGGAGGGTCTGGCTGCCGTGCAAAATTGTGAAGTTCTAATTCTATTTATTGTCTATTATATATTCTCTTCGTTAAAAAATGTAAAGTATTTTTAATTGAATTTTATTCTTCAATAAAGTAGTTACTTATTTTCTAATTGATTCTATTTTTTTATATTTATTTTTATTAAATATTTTATAATAAATATGAAGTGATTATTAATAAGAGTACTTTTGAAAAAAAAAATAATGATTACATTTAGAAAGATAAAAAATATTTTACATTTTTAAACATTCAACGTTTTAAAAAAATGCTTTGTATTTTTAAACAGAGGAAGTACGGTGATAGTTTTGAATTTCTGTTGTCTATGATTTCAAGTCTGCTTAATTCTTATGCTTTGGATGGGAAGCCTTCGGCTGCAATTGGCTTTTGCAAGATGGTGTAGGAATGGTTGACTTGTGCAATTTCAAAAAAATTTGTGCGTTGTTGCAGAACTGTTGTATACGGAATATTTTTGGGGGTTGATTGGTTAGAAGGGAGGGGAGGGATGTTGACCCTTTTTCCTTATTTTGGTTTGAAAAATTAGAGAGAAGGGGAGGGGAGAAAAGGGTAGATTTTTTAAAATTTTTCTTCCCCTCTAAATTGGGGGGATTGGGAATGGAGGAATAAAATTTTTCATATCCTAATCAATATGCCTTCTATGAAAAGTTTAAAAAATATAGATGTACTTCTCTAGTATCTCAACACCGATAAAATAAATGTAAAATTATTTATAAAAAATAGTTTTTCCCACTCCTTTTGAATCAAATAAGATAACATCAACTCCCTCTCTTCCATTAAAATTTTTCTCTTTCTTTCCATTAAAATTTTTCCTTCTCTTCTTAAACCAAACACATTCTTAATATGTTGGTCAATTGTTGGTTTCAAAAAACGAAAAAAGCGAAAATAGAGAGAGAACATTCGTTTGTCGATGGGTTTTACAGATAGGGAACTGCTTAGGACGTCCGTTGCGATAATAGCAATGAAGTGAATTTATGGTTTGTTGAGAGTTAATTTTTATTCAACCCAACTCGTCTGTCTTCGTTACGGGAACTGGTGGAAATTATTTTGATATTCAAGCAACATGTTTTTTTTTGTGAGGTCTCAATTTTCAATTACTTATTGAAGTAATGATAATTTAATTAATAAAGGTTGTTCCAATTGATAATGTTTGACTTATAATTTAAGAAGCTATAAAATTAAATTTTGGTATCAATGGGAAGATTTTGTTAGTGAGTGATTGTGGAGTATTTCAATAAGTGCTTTTTGAATTTGGAGGTCAATTTTAGTCCTAGTTAATTTTTAAGGATTTAACTTGTAAACCTTCCTATATAGAAAAAAGTGATGAGAATTTATATCACTCTCATCAGTGTTAGTTGGTTCAAACAACATTTTAGTTAGTGGTGATATTGGACTAATTGCCTTTCGAGTCTACGTTTGGATATGTGAAGCTAAAATTATAATTTTGTGAAAATATATTCAAGTTACTTTATTACATATTACAATTAAATATAAATTCAAATCATGAACTTTTTAAAAAAATATGTAAATGTGAATATATGTCAAAATTAATTATAAACTTAAATTATCTCTTAAATTATTATTATTTATTTTTTAAAATTAATTTTATAAATCAATTACATCTATTGTTAATTTTTCAAATTCAAATTTGAGCATTAACGGAAAACAAATACTAAGTGACTTAATGGCGATTATGTGGCATCACTTTATAGATTGGCAACTTAATAGCGGTTACATAATGTTCCTTTTAATTTTTTGGCATTCGTTGTTTCGCTCTTTAGTTGCTTCAACTTCTCAACACCTCATAGCTGTCCCTCCCGCCAAAAATGGCACGCCCCGCACAAGAGCAACTCTCCCTCCTCCGCTCCTTAATTGATGCTAGAAGGTCCTCGTTCCCTTTCCTCCTAATCTTCTTCTCTTTCTATTCGGTCGCTAACAAAGCTCAAAATGATTTTTCTCAGCTTCGATGAGGCGACGCTTCGAATTCTCCGGTCTTTTCTGGTCTCCAAAGATGTGGAATCGTCGATGCAAGTTCGATATAGCTTCACAGAGTTCCTCAGATCTCAATCCATCTCCGTTATTCGCTCAATTGCCTCAAAAACTGTCCTGGAGAAGCTTTATATCCTCGATTTTTTTGTTCGAGCTTTTGCTATCGTCGGAGATGTAGAGGTACTTCTCTTCTTCTGTTCTTCTGCCATCATAAATGAACTTGTCTTGTACTGCCGCCTGCAATCTTATTTGCTTCTAGCGACTTTATTTGTTTTTTTTTAATAAAAAAAGTCCAATCCTAGGTTTCTGATAAATTGTTTAAAAGCATGTGCTCTAATGGAATTATTGAGCCACGTTCTGTTTCCATACGCCTTTCCAGAGTTGCTTGGCTTTGAGATACGAGGCTTTGCTTATGAGAAACCTCAAGTCTGCCAGTTATCAATGGCTACATGTCTCGTCTGTTGAATGGTTAAATTTTGTGGAAGACGCGCTGCATAGCGGTTTTCATTCCATCGCAGAGAAGGTGCGCAGGCGTTATGCGGGCAGTTTATGTTTTCGAGACTCACCTGCGTGCGTTGTACTACAATTGTTCCGTACTTTTGCAGTTATTTTCTGCATGCTTCCTATCTGCAAATGCTTTCTTGTTTGAGAATAGGCATGTCAGCACGCATTACTGAGCATTAGGAAGAATGATGTTCTGGAGCCTGGGCTAGATGGAGTTCCTGAAAATGCTGGAGCAATTAGGACGATGACGAGGCTGAGGAACTGCGCAATGACATCTATTGCTTCACGCTCTGGTATCTCCTAAACTTTTGTATTAATTTCTCGTGAAGATTCCACTCATTATTCTTCGACGTGAGTGAATCTTTCGAGTATTAGTGCCACTACGATGCTAATGTCAATGAGGACCTTGTTGCTGCAGTGCTCTTATCACAGAGGACGAGTAGGACTGTTTTATGATATAAGGTGGTTGCTTTGCATAAGATCTTTGATGGCATTAAAAACTCAATTCTTTAGATGAGCGTTCGCTTGGCATGATTTAAATTGTGCTTACCCTAACTAAGCTTATTAATTAATTTAAATTTGTGTATGAAGCCTTATTTTGGTCACCTTTAATGCATCAAACATAAGAGAGTTATGCAGATACATGCTTGCTTAAGGGGAGAACATATATATGGAGAAGAATTAACAATCGACTAGGGGTTCGGACAACTTTGTCTTAAATTCAGAAGAAACGAGAACAAGAGATGCGTCTAGAGCAGGAAATGGATTTTTTAATCTGATAGATTATTCCTGCCTATGTTAATATTCCACTGCATGTTCTGCACATCTCTCAAACATTAGGAAGCTTAAGGGCATACTGTATCTTGACTAAGATATATCAAATGTCTGTCGAAATATAACTCCCGTCATCTAGAAGCAGGCCAAATGCTTTTTTTTTTTTCCCTTCCTTTTATTTTATTGGTCAAGGTTCCTTGACTTTTCGTCATTTGTTACTCACCGTATGTCCTTTATCCCTCTGCAAAGTGCAAATCAGTGTTGATAATTAAAAGATGGGGGAGCTTCTTTCTGTTTCGTTCTTTGTGTTTGTGTTTGTTATGAAATGAACTCGTCAATATCTCATTTGAAAGATTTATCTTGAAACTGTATGTAATCTGTTCTTTTAGGAGTGTCCATTTCTTCATTCCAAGTTATGTTTGATGATTTCAGTTCAGGCACAAGCAGCGGAGTACCTAACAAGGAAATCATCTGAACAGGGAAAGTCGAAAATAATCTGCGAAGAAAAACAGTGTCTAGCAAGCACGTCCTTTAGAAATGGAATAAAGAGGCAGAATATGCGGAAGTTACAGGAAAAACGAAGCCCTCTGCAGATCAATGATGAATGAATTCGACATCTATCAAATTTGTGGTCAATCAAATTCACTGATTAAGCATATGGGAGCTTTTCAAAGTGCAGTTTTGACACTTGATCAGATTTCATGCATGCTATAAGGGTGCAATGGGTGTGGGAGTTACTTCTGATAGATGAAGGATGGTTAAACAAAATATCTTGAGTCTGCCTTATATTTGAACAGTTAATAAATATCGTAATATCAGGCTATTTTGATCCTCTGAACACCAATTGCAAATGCTAGTGGATTCGCTGTTTTCTTTGATTTTCAGTTGAGATGCTAATGCTCAGATTGGAAAAACTGATACAACGATAGCAAGTTTTTTCCTTACCTGCGAAACGGAAACCTCACTTCCATTCACACCCATTTTATAATTACAAGCAAGTGTTGCCCTGGTAATGCTTAATGAGTTTTCAATTTATAACAGTATTTAATTAATTTATTAATTCAGAAAAAGGTTTCCGTTGACTGTTCAAAAATGTGGAAAACAAGGAACGTTTGAAAGTCCTTCTGTATCATATGAAACTATCATACAAAAATTATTGAAAGAAACCACAAAGTACCACCCAAGGCTCCAACGCATTAATTTCTTGCCCTACAAAGGCAAAGAGAGGATAAAGTGCTCATTGCTGAAAAAACATAGGATTGTTTGAGCACAAAAAAATAAAATGTTATGAAACCAATATATATATATATATATGTACGTACGTACGTATGTTTATGTATGAGAGATTTAAAGTGAGAGAAATGAACAAAAGAAAAGAAAATTGATTAAAAAGAGTCAGACAAATACTATTCATGGTATTCTTAAACTGAGAAGATATGAATACACACACATGATATAGATAGACAAGTAGTCATGGGTTAGGTCGTCGTTGAGTTAACGTCCACATAGATAGAGATAATAAGAGTGAATGTATGCATTACTACGCAAGGACATTGAACAGAACCAGACACGGCGACAAAAAGATAGAGGGAAATAGCTTCACGAAGCCAAGATAAGATGGAATACAATTCACTGCTGCGAAGCCCAAAGAAAGAGGAGCACCAAGTACCCGATGCTGTCCTCCCCAGATTACCGGATTCTGCCATAGCTTATTCCTACGATGATTTCGATATTTTGGATGAACTGGGCGACGGCGTTTTAGCCTGTTCTGAACATGACGACAGAAAATTACCACGACACCAATGTTATGGTGATCGGCTTAATTGGGACTTCTTGGAATTGGAGGGATTCTCAACTGCTGATACGGAGGAAGCAGAAGTAGCAGACGATGATGATGGAGGGGACGACGAAGAAGAAGAGAAGATGCAGGTGAGAAGCAAATGCCTTCTGGAAAACGAGAAGATAATAAAGAGAGAAAATATTGATTTTTGGGAGGAAGAAGATGAGAAGACGACGTCTCTGAAATTGAACTTGAACTATCAAGAGGTCTTGGATGCATGGTCTGACCGGGGCTCTCTCTGGGCCAACGATTTTTCTCTTTCAATGGCTTCCAACGTTAGTAATGCCTTCCACTATGTCAATACTCTTTTTAAGTTCCTCGATGCAAATTCATCTGTGAAACTATTGCGTATTATGTATTAGCTTTTCCTTGATAGTATGTTTTTTAGACTTTGTTACAATATATTGGATATCAATGAGTTTGAAGAATCAATTAATAATGTGTAAATTAGATGGGAGAGGTTCCAATACTTCAGGAAGATAGAAGCAGAAGGAATGCAAGCGTTCTGAGGTACAAAGAGAAGCGCCAAAGCAGATTATTCTCGAAGAAGATAAGATACCAAGTCCGAAAGCTAAATGCTGATAAAAGACCCAGAGTCAAGGTCAGTTTTATTCTTGAGAAGATTACATTGAAGTAAGCAAAAATTAATCACTGATAGATAGATTTCTTAAAATTAAGTTATTGCCAATAAGTCCCCTGAAGAACTTGTGAAAAGAACATACAGGATGAATTATAAATTTCTCAATTTAAATCACGCAAATTCAACAATAATTTATTGATGATGAATCAATTTCAGAGAAATCATTAGTAATTATTAAGGGTGTTCAACTTGAATCCATTCCGATTGATCTGATATCGTTTCTATCATATTGAGACAGGTTTGTCCGGTCCGAAAATAATTGAAATGGAATAAGGAAGGACTTCGGGACTGGACGAGACACAGGATTACTATTAGGATATCTTGTCTCGTCCTGAATATTATATATATATATATATATTATTTTTATTTTAAATATATTAATTATATTAATATAATTTTTAATTATATTAATTATATCAATTATAATTTCAATACTTACAATTATTATTTAAAACTAAAGTTTTTTTGTATTGATAATTTTAATGACATGGAGTAAACAAAAAAATATTTTTCTTTATAATATATTAATTATATTAATATAATTTATTTTTATATTTTTATATTTAATAACTTTTATTTATATTACATTTCTTACTTTATTTTCAAAAAAGTAATTAATTTAGCATATCTCAATTAAAATAGAAGAATAATGATTTGATGTTGTGCTTGACTTTACCTGTTGTTGCTACTCTTATAGCTTAAAGATAACTTGTATTTGCTATTATAATGTATAGTTGTGATTAATATAATTTAATAATTAACTTTAAATAATTGTGATTTACATACCTGTGTTATTTTAATTTTAAACTTAATAAATTATATAATTTAAAATTTTAATGAACATTATTATTTAATTTTTTTCAATATCATCCAATTTAATGGAATGGCGGGATATCTTGATCTTGTCCTGACTCTTAATAGGACGGAATGAGACACAAAATTAAAATTTATTTTAATATTTTTTTCAGGATGGGACCATTATGTCCTGTAAACACCTTAGTAATTATTGTCTTTTGCTTGGGATTTTTCTGTGCTTTTCTCTTGGGGGGAATGAAAACAACGTTGTGGAATCGTTGATATTTTGGATGTAGGGTCGGTTTGTGAAGAGACTTTAAAAGAGGGAAGGGGAGCGAGGAGGAGCCCAAAAAATATCTTCCTTCATATCTTGTAATTTTCCCTTTCAGTGAATTCCCAATTTTTGTATATATTTATGAAATTATGAATTGTAGCAATCCTATCCAACGTGTCAATCCCTGACTTGTTGATAATATGATGCATTTGAATATCCATTGCGGAATTTTGTGTCGAGAGTGCGTGCTCCATGGAGTAGAGGAGGTCCGGTCTTCGGAAATGGACTGCTTGTTTGTTAACATTGGGGAAAACATGGTCCGTCGTTGTCACGTGGTGATGACTTGATAGTTTGGGCCAAAAAGCGCAACATTCAAGCATTTAAATTTAAATGAATGTTCGGCCTGAAAAACAAAGAGTGGGAGAAAAAAGAAAAGAAAAGTATGCTGATATGATATCCTCATTCCTCAACGAGGAGTGGCTGATCCATATGCGATACTGACATGAAAGAGAGATTACATAGAGAGTCGGGCTTGATAAAGATATCACCCTTACAACCTTGTTCTTCGTCCTTTTTTCTTTTTTTTTTTTTCCTGCCAACTCCTTTTTCATGAAGGGAGACTCACGCACGGAGCCACTTTGGGCTCGAACCCACGCTTTGCGTACTGCAGAGGGCGAGCGGTGCCACAAGGCCACTGGCTCTTGCTCCTGTTGCATGTGTAACAATGATTAGTAAATGAAAAAATAAATCATTTGCGACTGCCTTATTTATCGTGGCGCTGTTGTTTATAAATCATTAAAATCTATGAGAAATATCGCTATATAATTAGAGGATTGATTTAAAAATAATTTTAAATCAAAAAACTGTAATATCTTTACTTTAAAAAAAATTCAATTAATAAATAATTTGTTATAAATATAAAAAGATATTTATTAATTAATGATTTATTATTTATCAATTATAAAAGAAAACGGTGGTATTGTAGTCTCTTTTTATTTAAATTATTTTTAAATTAGTCCCCTAACCTTTTAATATTTTTAAATATTTTAATTCTTGTTAGATATTAAATACCCTTAGCTATTCCTAAATGGTTTTTTTCCCTAAAATCTATATGCTCGAGCCAAAGCATGGATAACATTTGGGAGAATTTCATAGTGATGTGGCATTATTACAAATAAGGTTGAATGAATTTTGAAAATTCATTGAAAGACTAATGCACAAAATTGAAAATAAATTTTGAAAGGAAATGGTCATAATGTCCTTTGCATGTTTCTATCTCATCAAAGCCCCACCTCCAACGATCAGACCACCCACGCAGCAATCCCAGAGAACGAATATGGAGAAATAGCATTAGTGAATTGACAAGCAACATCCGTTAATTAACAAGTTGAGTTAAGATCTTAATAAGTAATTGGAATGAATATATAAAAAGTATTGTTATCAAGTTTTGTTAGTGAGTTAACAAATAGTATTGATGAAGTAGTAAACTAGGTTAAGGTTTCAACAAGTTCCAAATCACTAGAATTAAATATCTATAATATAATGTCAGTAAGTTTAGCTAGTGAAATAACAAGTGCCATTGATAAAAAAAAAAACTAATGAATATCATTTAACAAGTTTACTTAACTTTGATTTGGGAGCTAGGTTCGTGTTATATATTACATTTGGCGTTATATAATTAAAAGCACTATTAACTCAATGATTAACATGATTTTGGTGCACCAAGGGGCATTGTGTTTAAGCCCCCCTTTAGCCACATTGGGTACTTATCTTCCAATAGCCAGCACTAGAGCTCTAGTGATCATTGTGTAGGTGGTTTGATGAGAGTGATTTTTTAAAAAATATAAGAAAATAATTAATTTATAGGTTGTTATAGTTTATTTCAATCTTAAATTAGATCGTTAAAGTTTATTTTGTTTCAATCATATCCTTATAATTTGATCTATCATATATATTAACTCATTAAGGTTAAAATTAATAATCAATTATTAAATTTTACAAAAAAAATTTGCAAAAATTTAATTTAATATTTTTGGCCCAAATTGAAAAAATAAAATTTGATTTAATATATTGTTGACATTTTTATTAATTTTTAAATAAAAAATCAATATGCTTAAAAAATATTTAGAAGACAACCCAATTATAAAAATTTTGAGTTGTAAAAATTTATATAATTAATTCTAAAGTTTTATAATGACTTGATAAATATATAAAAGTTCATAAATTTTTTAAATGAGAAATTTATGGATTTAACATCTAGATTACAAAATTTAATTAATCAAACTTTAAGAGCTCAATTAAAATTAAATAAACTATGAGGACTTAATTCAAAATTGAGTCATGATTGCTTAAATAAATATTATGATTATTTATTTTTAGAACTTGAATTTTCATGATAAAAGAAATTTTATAAAAAAAATTATGATTTATTATTTAATTCTTGCAATTCATATGATAAAAATTGTAATTTCTTAAATAACGATTGAAATTGTTATTTCAAGACTAAAATCTCAATAACAAAAGGAATATTATATGAGAAGTTATAATTTTTTATTTAATTTTCATGATCTATAGAGTTAAAATTGTGATTTGTGACTAGTTGTTTTTAAAACTTGTTTATCAATCATAAGAAAAATTTTACATTAAAAGTTATAATTTATTGTCTAGTTTTTGCAATTTACGTAATAGAGTTGTGATTGCTTAAATAAAAATCGTGATTAGGAAAATAAAGTCATACTCATTATTTTTATTTAAACAAAAGGCAATTTAACTATTTAATCTAAAATCATTGATGTTATAAAAGTGTCAAAGATTTCAAAAGAATTATGATATTTTTATAGGCTTGAGTGTAATTTACAAGGCCGTGTATAATGTTCAAATGCCAAGCTAGCCTGATCTTGCTTGAGGATTTAGGCACTTTGGATTGGGCACTGAGCAAAGGTCAAGCCTTACCTTGCCTAACTCTAACATGAGTCATTTTTTGTTAGTTTAAAAATCTTTTTATGAATAATATTTATTTTATGATATTATTTTTTTAAAAGTTATCATGAATTATATTAATCTTATGGTCTTTTAAATACTTTTAATCATTAAAATTTTTTTAATCTCTTTTAAAATTTTAAATTTGTTTTAAACTTAATATCATCTAAAAATAAATTAAAATGTTTACTTTTAATTTTAATGTTAGTTCTATGAAAAATATATTTTAAATGATAATAATATTATTTTTTTAAATAATACATTTTTACATCTATATCTGATTTGAAATAAACTCACAGTTGAAATTCTCACGTCTTTACAAACACGCTCGTTTGTGAGAAATAATTATTTTGCATTGATGGATGGCGGTTAACTGTGGAACCAATTGCAAATAATTGTAGCAGTGCTAACTGGGAATTGCCGCTAATTATTGACGTTGTATTAGTCCAAGAGTGAAAAGTACTACCATTAGTGTGTAACACGTTGAGTAACCCCCTTTGTCTTCGTCTAGAGAATGTTAAAATATATAATTTTTTTTAAAAAAATTTTGAAACAGTTTCATACAACTTCCTTCATTTTGTATTATTTAAAATTAACTCCTCTAATTTTTAATTTTATTTTTCAAGACCCCTTACAATTAATCAATTGATATTTATTAATATAATTATTGCTATATCATATTAATGTAATACACATGACACATAATATGAAAAACATATTTTACAACTTGTCATTGATATATAAAAGCTATCATTAATGAGAATCATATAAATAAAAATTTATTTTTTAATACAAGATATTTTACAAGTTATTTTTAAAAAAATTGATAAATTCACACACGCACACACAAAAACAAATGAGAGAGTATCAAGAAAATAACAACTGCAAATAAATAAGAGTACACACACAAAAGAGAGAGTATCAAGAAAATGAAAATAACAACTACAAATAAATAAGAGTATCCACACACAAAAGAGAGAGTATCAAGAAAATAACAACTACAAATAAATAAGAGTATCCACACACATAAAAGAGAGTATCAAGAAAATAACAACTGCAAATAAATAAGAATATCAAGAAAATAAATAAAGACGGTAACAAAATATGTATGACTTGTATCAGTGGCAGCTTTTGGACATTTTTCTGTTCATCTGTTTAAATAAAAGACTATTTTAATTGATAAAGAATAATATAGTTATGATTATTCTCTTAAATTATATTACCCTGACTAGTGAGAATAATGTTGCTCAGATATAAAAAAAATAAAAACATCATCATGTTTATTAAAAATAAAAATTACAAGGTTACCCCTTCTTAAATTATGTTAAAAAATAATAAAAAATATTTTTCATGTCATGTGCTATGCTGATAAGTGCATATTTTATAATTAAATAGCTATAAATTTTGATTTAAATTTGACTATATTTATTAACATTTTATATTTATTTAATTAATATTTATATATTTGTTCTCATCATTTAATTATAAGATTAAAAAATTTTGATACAAAATTTACTCATATCTTTTTTTTTATATCTTGCAGGAAAATAATAGATTAAATAAAAGAAAAAAATGCAAAAAAATATATATTGAAGGAGTAGATTTTCATATATCACGTCACAAGGCAAATATTAGGAATTGAAGGAAAAGCCTCCACTTTAATTATAAATATTCCTTACATTAAGAAAATTCATCCAATCACTTATCTGGGTATCTCAAAATTTTTTTGAGATATTTGAAGCCTGTAAAAATATTATGAAGGCTAAAAGCGAAATTGTTGATAAGTTTTATAAATCATAATTATTTCTTTTCTACTCTTTAATTTTCTCTGCATGATTAAAAATTTTAGAATGGTGTTATTCAATTTTATTATATGTTTTTAAATTATTCAATTGGGTAGGGATTTAACCTAATTGAGGGCTAGTTTTATACTTTCTTTGTTTTGACTCTTGACATTTATATCTATGAATATTTTTTTTTAATTATACTTACTTCTCTTATTTTTCATATTGATTTTATAATTGACCACCATTTAATCAAATGTATGGGTAATCTTAATGAACTTGGAGGTAAAGAGAAAACCTAAATCTAGAGAAATAAACACAAATAATTAGGCTAGGGATAATTCTAAAAATTTGTGATGACTTAAATTATAGCTTTACAATTTAATTAATTGTTTGGATACTGTAGGAACGAATTCAAAACTAATTAAAAATGAACTAATAATTTAAGAAAACATTAGAACATTTTAAAAAAGTGTCACTATAATTGATTAAAGAATTAATTAAAAAGTTAGAAACTAGTAACATGTAAGTAAATC